GCTCTCCGAGATCTGTTGTCTGGTGGGTCCCCCAACAGACTTGCCCAGGGTGGGGGTGAGGGCTCACCAGATTCCTCCAGCTCTACCCTCAGAGCAAGATTCAATGATGAAAATGAGGCAGATGCTTGCTACCCTCACACTTCCTACCCACTCACAACACCTGCCTGGCCCCTTGGGCTTGGGATCCCCTACATTGTGCAATTCTCACAGTGCCCCCGACTTCTACTGCACCCCACCTCCTGGCCACTAAGGGCAGCGGGGCCAGCCAGGGCCCTCCAGGCTTCTGGGCCTCCAGTGGATCTCAAAACACCTGAACACCCTCCAGGGCGGAGGGCGCCCTCCCCCACAAAATGTTTCTGAGTCAACAGTAGTCCCCACAATTGGCTGTGTACCTGATGGTATCCCAGGGCTACAGGAATCAAGGTTCCCAGGCGTGTCTTTGCAAAGGGTACCCCGACAGCCACATGGGCACTGTTTGGCCAAGGCAGTCCATGTTCCTCCAGCTTTACCTTGGGGGACAGGGAGGATGCAGGGAACAGGCTCCTTTGTGTAACAGAGCTGGGAATTAAGCAGAGGACTTGGAGAGCCCAACACCCATGCACAAGAGCCAACCCCGCTGCACACGTGCCCTCTGCTAGTCCCTGCCTCTGCATGCCGAGCCCCACCTTGACCTGCGCTGAGGAGACCGGGTGTCTCTCTGCCTGCGGAACTCTGCTCACATCTCGACCACCAACAGAGCCTCCTGGGCAGAGGGAGCCCACCCCTGAGAATGTTTCCGAGGAGGCAGCTTAAAAGTGGGAGCAGGGGCGCCTGGGTGGCTCAGTGGGTTAAGCCTCTGCCTTCGGCTCAGGTCATGATCTCAGGGTCCTGGGATAGAGTCCCGAATCAGGCTCTCTGCTCAGCGGGGGGGCTGCTTTCCCCCCACCCCGCCCCCCCTTTCTCTGCCTACTTGTGATCTCTCTGTCAAATAAATAAAATCTTAAAAAAAAAAAACAGAGTGGGAGCACTCAGTCCCCATCGAGCCTGCCTGCCTGCCTGATGGGACTGCCAGCTTTACCAGCAATCCAGGCTCCGGGGGTCTTTTGTGAAAGATACACCAGCCGGGCTGCCTCCAGACCAGAGCTGACAAGGGTGTGCCACTGCTTCTAGCTCAGCCTCCAGTGGCAATATGCACCTCTGTGTCAGCCAAGACTTCCACTGAGACTGACTTCAGGGATGCACAGAGTAGACACACCTGGGACACAGCCTCTTCCTACAACTGCCCTGTTCCAGGACCCTGGCACCCTGACCTGCACCGTGCCAGCCCACCAGCCCACCATGGCCTCCTGTCCTATGGGGCTCCAGGTCAACTCCAGAGCATCAGAATGGCATCGGGAGCCCACATGAAAACAATCTCAAGTGGCAGGTTGCCCCTCCCCAGGTGGACTGGCTGCTTGAAGGGTCCCAGGTTTCTCCAGCTAAGATGAAGTGCCTCTCTGGAGGGCAGCCTGAGCATCCCTCCAGTCTCTCCCTGTCAAGCCAGCCCAGACTGCTCCAGCTCGGCCTTCAGGGGTGGTACATGCAGTTGTTAGAACAGAGTGTGGCTTCTGCAGATGCCACAGCCCGCCAGGAACTTACAGCCACCCCTGGGCGCTGCTCATGGCTGTTTCTCAAGATCCAGGCCATCCCGGGCCCACGGCAGCCACATCTGTGCAGTCAGCCCCCACCAATGGCCTCCAACCATGCATACACGTTTGCTAGTTGCCAAGACACCTTGCCAATCGGGCCCATGGTGGCCTGCTGAGGTCCGAAGCACATTCTGGGGCCAGAGTTCTATGTACAATTTCCTGTTCCAAGTCCAGGCTTCCCCCTCGGCCTGAGCAGCCCTTGAGTGTGCAGTCAGCCCTCCTCATTCACCTACCCACCCCCACAACTTTGTTGGCCAAGCCCGTGGTGGAATATTGGGCTCCGACCAACGACCCAAACTGCACCACCCAGGGTAGAGGGCGCTTACAGTCTCAAATTCTTCCAAGGCAGCAGCTTCAGACTGGATACAAACAGATCCTGTTGAAACTGGGGGCTTCATGCGTCCCTGGGCTTCTCGAACAGAGCTCCCTGGGGTCTGTGCGGAGGTCAGAGGGGTCCATCCGTAGCCTGCTCCGGTGCCCAAGATTGCCCTCCCTCCTATTTGCCTTTTCAGTTCCTTGTGTTCCCTCGGGCCTGGGCTGCCTGGTCAGACACCTCTCAGCCAGCCTCTGCTGATGCATACCCAGTGGGTCCCTGACAATTGGGCTCAGCCTGTGGGTGCCTGTTGCCCCTTCCTTGTTACCTAACTTCTGTCTGTCAGCAACCTTGTGGGCTGTGGGGCTCAGCTTCGGCTCCCAAACCTACATATCACCACAGTCAAGAGTGGTTTCTCCCCTTCAAATTAAAACCACATTGAGAAACCACCTTACACCAGTTAGAATGGCCAAAATTAGCAAGACAGGAAACAACATGCGTTGGAGGGGATGTGGAGAAAGGGGAACCCTCTTACACTGTTGATAGGAATGCGAGTTGGTGCAGTCACTTTGGAGAACAGTGTGGAGATTCCTCAAAAAATGAAAAATAGAGCTTCCCTATGACCCTGCAATTGCACTACTGGGTATTTACCCCAAAGATACAGATGGAGTGAAAAGAAGGACCATCTGTACCCCAATATTCATAGCAGCAATGGCCACGGTCGCCAAACCTGTGGAAAGAACCAAGATGCCCTTCAACGGACGAATGGAGAAGGAAGATGTGGTCCATATACACTATGGAGTATTAAGCCTCCATCAGAAAGGATGAATACCCAACTTTTGTATCAACATGGACAGGACTGGAAGAGATGATGCTGAGTGAAATAAGTCAAGCAGAGAGAGTCAATTACCATATGGTTTCACTTATTTGTGGAGCATAACAAATAGCATGGAAGACAGGGGGAGATGGAGAGAAGGGAGTTGAGGGAAATTGGAAGGGGAGGTGAACCATGAGAGACTGTGGACTCTGAAAAACAATCTGAGGGTTTTGAAGGGGCGGGGGGTGGGAGGTTGGGGGAGCCTGGTGGTCGGTATTAAGGAGGGCACGGATTGCATGGAGCACTGGGTGTGGTGCAGAAACAATGAATTCTGTTACGCTGAAAAGAAATATAAATAAATAAATAAATAAAATCTTAAAAAAAAAAAAAAAGAGTGGTTTCTCCCTGAAATGCTTTCAAACATTGGCAGCTTGAACTCGATGGCCCCCTGGGCCCAGGGATCCTTCAACACCCAAGGCTCCCAGAGGTCTGTTTGGAGGGTCCCCAGAACATCCCGCACCACCCCACCAGATTCCTCCAGCTCTGCCCTTGAGGCAAATACATTCAGTGTTCCTGATGACTGACAACATTAGGCAGATACTGTCTGCTCCTCACGGGCCGCTCTCACACGCTGCCTTGTGCCCACACTGCTGGCCTTGCTGTGGTTTGTGGCTCACGGGTGCCAAGTCCAGCACCTCTTTCACCACGTGAGGGCAGTGGGGCCGGTCCAGGCCTCCAGGTTACTGGTGCCATGATTCACTCTGGAACCACCCCAACACCATCCCAGACAGGAGCCCTCCCATTCCAAAGTATCTCTGAGGTGTCAAACCTCACTTCCCCTGAAGGGGTGCCCATGGGGTTACTAGGAATCCAATCTCCTAACTGTCTTAGTGAAGAATACCCCAGCAGCCACACAGTCCTGTGCAGAAAGGCAGTGCACGTATCTACAGCATTTCATTGCATGAAATATGTGCATTTTTCTAATACAGGAACATAATTTAGGCAGATGTAGCAGCCAATACTGAAAAACTTCCACCACATTAAGAGTCTACCTCTGTGTGTATAACCTCCAGGTAGCAGGAAACTGTCCTCTGAAACTTTCTGACACGGCAGCTCTCAACTGGTGACAGTCACTCACCCTGCAGACTGGCCACACCATGGGCTCCCAGGTGCCACATTCGGCCAGCTTCCTGGTCAGTGGGCAGGCCCTGACCTTGCAGGAAAATCCAAGTTTTCCAGGTCTGCCCTAAGGAGAGAGAGACCCAACTATGTAGGTTAAGGCTTAGAAAAAGGCAGATGCCATGAATCCCCCAACAATGTCCTCCTGTCACCCAGCTTGGCCAGACATTGCCCAGTCCAGGTCCCAACCTCACCCCACCTTCCTCACCTGCCCATGCACAGTCAGAATCTGGTCGGGGGTGGGGGGGGCACCTGGCCACATGGAGGTCTAGCCCACTCCACCCACTGGCAGAGCCTTCAGGGTGCAGGGGCCCACACTCCCAGGGTCCTCTTAAGGCTTCATCTCACACTAAGGACTGTCGGTCCCCTCTGGTACTGGCTACCTCTAGGGGCTCTAGGGCTTCCTCAGCAATCAGGACTTCCCAACTCTGGATGCCTGGGTGGCTCAGTGGGTTGAGCCTCTGCCTTCAGCTCAGGTCATGACCTCAGGGTCCTGGGATCGGCCCCCACATTGGGCTCTTTGCTCTGCGGGGAGCCTGCTTCCCCCTCTGTCTCTGCCTGCTTCTCTGCCTACTTGTGATCTCTGTCTCTTTGTCAAATAAATAAATAAAATCTTTATAAAAAAAAAAAAGAAAAGAAAAAAAAAGACTTCCCAGCTCTATCTCCTGGGAGGTCTCCTGAAAGTGCTATTTGGCCAGAAGCAGCAAATGTTCCCTCTCTTCCAAGCTGAATGATTCAGTTCTTCAAATTTCTAGCCAGAAAATTTACTCAAAGCTTTTATCAATAACATCAATTAGTATAATGCAAAGTTAAAACAACCCAGTAACTCCAACCCCTCTAGGTTATTCCCACGTAAGGAACATTACATTACCAGTGTGGCATCTGGGGGACTTAGTCTGTTGGGCATCTGACTCCTGGCTCCAGCTCAGGTCATGATCTCAGGGTAGGATCTGCCCACATTTGGCTCCACACTCAGATGGGAGTCTGCTTGAGACTGTCTCTCCCTCATCCCCTGCTCGCACTCTCTTTCATTCTCTAAAATGAGTAAGTAAATCTTTGAAGAAAAAAAAAAAGAAAGAAAAGAGAACGAACATTACCAGCACGCTTCAACAGCTAGAATAAACATCGAGCCCGTCACCGCAAGCTGAGGAGGTCGGGATATCAGTCAGAACTCACGCAACACGCCCATGAGGTGCTGAGAAGCTGGACGGGCACAGCGGTCCTCGGCGGGCACCGAGCGCCAGTCGGCAGTTGCCGGACAACACGCGGCTCTTCCCACAGAGTTGCTCTGAACCCTGCTGACTACAACAGGAAATGCTGATGCAAAGCAAAGACACCTGAGGAAAAAGAGAGTTTCACTCCAGCTGCCCAGGAAACATGCTCCTCGCAGAGAACGCGCCCCAGAGCATTATAAACTTTTCACATCTTGTAAAAACTCAAAAGCGTACAGGTTAACACACTGCCGGAATCACGAGTTTTAGGGTTAGGGTTAGCATCAAGGAATGCAGGGCGCATTGATGGGCATCTCAAGGACAAGCCGGTTCTCCTTTAGGTGACTCGTCCACAAAGCAGATGTACAGTGCGCGTGGAGGGGCCATCAACCAGGTTCACGGTTTGAACGAAGTCTGCATACGGCTCTGCTGGCTCAGAATCTGAATCGGCTTCCTTTGTACACGAGCCTTCCACATGGCGGATTTACTTCGTGCCCGGGGAGGAAGAGGAGAGTCTGGGTGTCCTTCTGGCATGGGCTGTCTCTTAAGTAATTCTTACTTAAAATAACCGATGTCACTGTACATTTCGGAGAGCCTGTCCTCAGGCCCCACAGTATCCGGGCAGTCCTTACCCTGCACGAACCCACAATCCCAGACCGCCTTCAGCAAGAAACCTATCAAGTCACTCTTCTCACCAACCCTAACCCTCACGTTTCCTCCTAGTAACTTGCTGCCCACGAATCCCACTCTGCTCCCCGGTGTGAGTTACCACGTGGCGCACCGCATCTCAGTGGAGCACAACCACCCGCCGTCCACGGCAACACTGCGGGGTCCCCACACCCCAAGCAGAAAGAGCCCCACACCCTGAGGAAAGAACCCTTCACTGCGCTTTAACACGCCTCCTGGTTTTTTTCCTAAAACTCCGAGAGCCCCGCTGCCCGCCGAACCCCGCAGAACCCCGCCGCCCCAAGGCCGCCCCCGCCGGGCCGCCGCGCCCCGCCGGCCCAGACAACGGGGGCCGCGCTCACACCTGTCACCCCAACCGGGACGCGTCTGCGCACGCGGGACACGAGGCCGCGCGCCTCCCGGTCCTACCTGGAAGTGCCCCCCAACAGCTCCCGCGGACACCGAGCAGCCGCCAACCGACCGGAGCGGCCAGCCGGACCGCGCGCGGCACCGACCGTGGGGCCGACCGGAGAGTGTGCGGCCGCCTCTTCCTACCTCCCAACGCAGCCGGCCCCGGCCCCGCCCCACGCCGGCCGCGGCCCCGCCCCTTCGCCGGGGACCCGTCCGGGTTCCGCCTAGTCCTCCCTCGGGCCCCGCCCCACGCCGGCCGCGCCCCGCCCCTCCGCTGTGGCCGCGGTACGCCGCGCTTGCCTTCCCCAGAACCCACGCTGGCCGCGCCCGGGCCCCGCCCCTCCGCGGCCACTCGGTCCCCGCTCACCCTCCCTCTGCCACGTCCCGGGCGGGCCGCGCCCGCTGCACCGGCCCCGCCCCACGCTGGACGCGCTCCCGCACGGCCCCGCCCCACCTTGGCTTCGAGGGTAAAGGCCCCGCCCCTTACGTAATTTCCTACTAACCCGGAAGAGGATTTCCGGAAGCGAAGGTTCTGGTCTGGTAAGTGGATTGTGGTCTTTGAGGTTTAAACCCGGGCTCGTCGGTTCCTTCCTGGCTCCGTTCTCCACGCCCCGGGGCCGAGGACTCCTGCGGGTGCCCCAGGCCCCGCAACCGCCCGTCAGACCCGCGGGGAGTCGCCGGGCCCTGCGCTCCCTGGGCCGGTAGTCCGTGTCTGTTTGCGGTCGAAGGCGCCCCGAGGCCTCCACAGAATCCAGTCCTCCCCGATGCCGCCGCCGTCCTCCTCCGGCGGCCGGGTGTCCGTCCCCGCCTCGGGGAGGCCCGTGAGTCCCCGCCGCGGGGGGAGAGCGGGCCCGGGTCCCCGCGCCCCAGACCTGCCCCAGGGCTGCGTGTGCCGGCGTGTTCGCGTGCCGGGTCCCGCTGGGAAGGGAGCGCCTCCGTCCCGGAGAGCGGCGCGGCGTGTCGGCAGGGTGAGGAGGAAAGACCGGGAAGGGACGGCGGGCTCCCCGCGCAGTGGCGTGCAGGCCGGGAGGGGTGGTCACGGAGGACTCCGACAGGAGCAGCGGACGTGAGGGAGGAAGTGGCCCGGGGAACACAGGTCAGCATGTGAGGCCAAAGCAGCGAGGGAGTAGGGACAGTCGGGTGAGACCGACCAGCACTGGCGCCGGGCAGTGCAAGGGACATTGCTGTGAAGTCCTAAGTTGCTCTCCTTGTTAAATCAGGTAAGTCACATTCAGACGAGAGTCCGCAGTGCTTTTCCTGTCTTTATTACATACAGAAGTGTTCCTTGTTGGTTAGCAGATAATTCTACAGTGTTTCTGTGCGCCGCTACAGCGTTTCCGTGTGCAGCTACAGCGTTTCCGTGTGCAACTACAGCGTTTCCGTGTGCATCTACAGCGTTTCTGTGTGCAACTACAGCGTTTCCGTGCGTCACTACAGCGTTTCCGTGTGCAGCTACAGTGTTTCCGTGCGCAGCTACAGTGTTTCCGTATGCAGCTGCAGCGTTTCTGTGCGCCGCTACAGCGTTTCTGTGTGCGGCTACAGCGTTTCTGTGCATCACTACAGTGTTTCCGTGCGCAGTTACAGCGTTTCTGAGTGCAGCTACAGCGTTTCCGTGTGCCGCTAGTGTTTCCGTGTGCAGCTACAGCGTTTCTGTGCACCGCTACAGTGTTTCCGTGTACAGCTACAGCGTTTCTGTGCGTCACTACAGCGTTTCTGTGCGCCGCTACAGTGTTTCGTTGTGCAGCTACAGTGTTTCCATGTGCAGCTCTTGGATATATTGAGGACTCAGGTCTTCACATTCAAAACCAGGTTTAAACAGGTAGTCTAATATTCAACACTTTCCTTTCTTTTTTTATGTGGTTCTAAAGTTTTTATTTATTTAGACAGAGCCCCCACCAGCAGGGGCGAGGGGCAGGAGAGGGAGAAGCAGACTCTCCCATGAGCGGAGAGCCCCATGCAAGACTCAGTCCCAAGACCCTGAGATCGTGACCTGAGCGGAAGGCAGAGGCCTAACAAACTGAGCCACTCAGGCGCCCCAACAGTACATTTTTTTGATGTATTGATGTGATGTTCTGGAAAAAAGGGAAATTAAAAGCTTTTAATCAGTGTGAGTAAAACCATGAAGTAGAGAAGTTGCTGCTGCTCAGGAGGCTGGAATAGGGTCTGGAACCTTCAGCGGCAGGGGTGAGAAGGGCAGGCCTTGTCACTATCGAACACAACTCCAGTGCATGCATAAGGCCAATGCAATGATAGTTTACTCTCCCCGGGCCTCTCCTTCTGTCATCTCTGCCTATCCCAAAACACCCACACACAAAGCACAAGACCTTTGGGAAGGGAAAGACCAAAAATTATTAAAATAAGCACAGAACAAACATATCTCTCCAATGGGGAGGTAAACCTTGGTTCTGGGATGGGAGGATAAAGTGCAGTGAGTGTTAATAGATGGGGGAGAGCCTGGGAGCACAGAGACAGGAGGAGAACTCCACATCCTCCCTTGGTAATCCTGTATTCAGCCTATACTGCAAGAGACTGCAAGGATTGTGACTTGAAAGGGAGGGTCACACAGACTCCCATTCCCCTGAATATCGGATGACAGGTGGGCTTCAGCAGGAATCGGGCATTGTGAAGCACAGGGCAGACACTTGTTCTTCTCCATCTGCAAGTTTATCATTCCTCTTCCCTGGTGCTTTAGTAGACCACAGAGGACCACCTAGTCTGCATGCTGATTTCCTCCCCACAGTTTATTCAAAATCCTGAATGGCACATTTTCCTAACTAGGAGAAAGATGATAATGATGGTGATTCAGGAATGGCTCTTTCTCTGGAAAAGTTCACTTATCTGTTGATTATTCTGCTTCCTGAATTGCTGTTTTTAGGACATACCAATCTCTGACTCTCAGGTAGCCTGCCTAACACATTTCCTCATTTACCCGTGGCTTTTCCTCTGTACTCTCCCAACTGCAGACCAATTCCATCTGTCTGTGATTAGAGACAAGGACTGGGTACTACAGTCTCAGTGAGGTTTGCCAGTAGGTATTGTATAAGGACCAAATCTGGATGTACCATTAGCTCTTTACACACAAGGATTAAAGAAAATTAATCTCAGCAATACCTGAACAATCCTGGAAAAGAATACCAATAAGGGGAGATTTGTTATACCTGGTTGTATAATGAATTTGAAGCTTAACAAAGTGAATGTGTGCATTTGAGCTAAAAATATTAGGAATTTACAATAGAAGGAAGAGATCACAAGCTGATAGCCAGGACAAATTGAGGTGGCATTTCAACTCATGGTGTTTTATTCACTGGTTGCTATTTAAGATCAACCTAAATGCCAAACATAAAGAGAATTTTAACATTGTTCACAATACATTGATCCCAACGCGCCTTTACTGTTGATAGATCATAAGGAATACAGCCCTCCACAGGCTTCTGAGGGTCCCTACAGTCTGCGTAAGTCAGGAGTTTGCTGGACCTAGAGATGGCACCTTTCGTGTTATGATAGATTCTGGCCTGATGGCTCCCAGAAATTGCAAAGAAATCTTTACCCATGACCAACTCATGAAGTTTCCCCCTGCAAGAGCCAGGATTTCATTATGTGCATACAACATGTAGATTTGGATGAAATGACAACTCTTTATTTCCATTTTCTAATTACTTAAAAGAGACTGAATGTATTTTATTTTTTTAGAGTTACTAAATGTTTTTCTAATTCCTTTTTCATGTGCATTTACATACTATTTTTTTATTTTGTAGTTTAATCATACATACTCAGACACCTACTTTGTTCTTACAATGTTTATGCATTGAAACCAAAATCTTTCTTCATGCCCTTTCCTTTGTATTTTTCCTGTGAAAGGAAGGCATCACCTATTTCACATTAAAAAATATCATATTCAGGGGCACCTGGGTGGCTCAGTCATTGGGCGGCTGCCTTCAGCTCAGATCATGATCCCAGGGTCCTGGGTTCGAGCCCCGCATTGGGCTCCCTGCTCAGCAGGGGGCCTGCTTCTCCCTCTCCCACTCCTGCTGCTTATGTTCCCTCTCTCGCTGTGTCTCTCTCTGTCAAATAAAATCTTTAAAAAAAAAAAAATCCATTTACTTCTAATATTGTATCATTGAACATTGCTTTATTTTAACTACTTAAGTTGTGTTAAAGCTTCAGATAATGTATCTTCATAGGTAATTTGACCTACCTTCATTTTTTTTCTGTTCCAAATTGTTTTGGCTGTACTGTTACCCAAAATCAAAATTGACACAAAATTGACTTTTAAGGTAATTCTCAGTTTTTATATGAAATACTATGTGCTACTTTTAAATTTGGATTGTACCAAATTTCTATAGTCACTGAGGTTTTTATGTCACAGTGTCTTCTAGCTTAAGAATTGGTCTGGTAGGCTTTATTCTTGTCATTTTATGTCCTCAAAAAGTTCTTAAAACATTTTTACATGGGTCTACATGATGATTTCAAATGGGAGCCATAATATTTTGTTGTTGTAAGTAGAGACTTTTTATGTGATTGCTTGTTTTTGAATTACTATAACTAAACAAAGTATTGACTTGAGCATATTAAGCATAGATCTGTCCGCTTCTGAAAATATTCATACTAGGTCTGATCATTAAAAAGCATTCTCCTGTTCTTTGGGATTTGAAGTCCTCTCTTCTGAGGATGACTGCAGTTCCAGGTCCTTGAGTCTGTATCTGTGTTTCCTTTATGTTTCTCTTTGTCCTGACTCATGTGTCCCAGGCGGTGATGAGTAGGGGCAACCCTGGCCGGCCCCTTCTTCTCAGCCTTTACGTGAGCAGGACTGCTTCTTTGTCTGCTGCTGAGTTTGTTTCCTGACATCTTCTTGATTAGCAAGAAGGATTCCCTATTATTTGACGTGAATTTTAAAGATTCTCAATTATTTTGAAAGGTCAAATGTTTTTCTAATGATCTGTTGATGTGATCTAATTATTGCGGTATTTAAAATTATTTAAGGGCTTTCTGGCAGCTCGGGTCATGATCCCAGCATCCAGGGATACACAGTAGAAATTCCATGACTGTCAGAGGGTGAGGGTGGGAAGAGGAATGGGAGTTGTTTAATGGTTTAGAAGATGGAGAGTTCTGGAGACAGATGGTGGTGATAAGTGCACTTATGAAT